AGTTCAAGTTATTGTTATTATTGTTAGTTCAAGTTATTGTTGTTATTGTTAGTTCAAGTTATTTCAGTGAACTATGTGACATTTTTCTTTCTTTAATGATGAATACAAACTGTATTATGAGGGAGGTCCGGGTGACATTAAAGGCATTAAGTATGAACAATATGTGAGTGTGTGGTTAAAAGTAATTTAACATTCAGGGGAAAATGAGAATTTGATCTTTCAGAAAGAGGAAAAAACAAATCTGTAGCAAACATGGACTCTTTGGACTGAATAACTAGTTCTTTTTCACATCATCATCTAGTGTAAATAAGAACTCTAATTTTAATACATTTCAAGTTTTAAGCTTCTCATTGTCTTTAGCTGATGTGAAACAAAATGTGATGGGTGTTTTTGACCGACACTAAATATGAACAACTCATACTTGGTTTTCCATTTGAGAGGAGTTGACCTTTTGCAGACTCCATGAGACCAGTTCTGAGCTACCTTGACTCTCTCCTTTAGTGGGATATGATGGTATCTGCAAAGACAGCGTCACATGTGTTTTCATTCATTTGTAAGGTTCAGTGATTAAGTACACATTAATATCTATTAGACACATAACCAATGAGTTGATAATAATTAAAACGCAGTCTCTCTTGCAACTTTATATAGTTTGGAAACAGCAATTAAGAAACACTGAAAACAGTTCAGTTGCCTGTTTTGAGAATCTTTACATTTAAGATAAAACATACAAAATTACACATTTAGTATCCCTGCCTTACTCGTCTATTTTTTAAATCAGAAACATTAGTGGGATAACATTTGTGTTCCATTCAGCTGACAAAGGTCGTTTAAACTGTCATACACATAAAAAAAAAAACACATTTTCTCCGTCGCCTCAGGTAATTGATTCCTCCTCATCTAGATGGTTGTGTCAAACTTTCACATATTTCAGCCTCAGTTTAAACAATGAGGAGAAAAGATTCCTGCCACACAGAAACATCCATCCATCATTTTTACCCGCTTCTTAGCTTTGGGGTCATGGGGGTCACTGGTGCCCATGTCCAGCAGTCACTGTGCAAGAGGCGGGGGACACCCTGGACATGTCTCCAGTTCATCACAGGGACACATAGAGACAAACGAGACAAACAACCATTCACTCTCTCACTCACACCTAGGGACATTTTAGAGTTACCAATCAGCCTAACATGCATGTTTTTAGTCTGTGGGAGGAAACTGGAGTACCCGGAGAAAACCCACACATGCACGGAGAGAACATGTAAACTTCACCCAGAACGGTCCCCGGTCGGGATTTGAACTGGCAACTTTCTCACTGAGGCAACAGCGCTACCAACTGAGCCACCGTGCCCCCCACTCAGAAACAAAAATCCCTAATAAGATATTTTCAAAAAGCATCAGTACAGTAACACTATTAAAACTACACTCCTCATCATAGAATCAATCAATCAATTAATCAACATTTATTTATAGATCCCTTTCCAATAACCAAAAGGTGCTTAACAGGTTGATCCTGATGGAGCTGCACTTTTTTTAGGATGGGTTTTCCCAACGCTGTGGGAGGAGAGGCAAACTGAAAATCTGATTAAAAGCAGAATAGTAGCCGGTGAGTAGTTCTGTGGGTGCTTCAATGTTTTTGAAATCTTTAATAAACAGTTTTAACCACTTTGGACATTGTAAATAACGTTTATTTTTTTCCCTCTATACAGTATTTTTCTTCTCCAAAAACATTGTGATTAATCCAAAACGTTCATGCTCAATAATCCAGGTATACAATCCAAAAATGTTTCCGTCAGGTCATCTGAACAGTTTCTTTTTTTTGCTGAAACGTTTCATCTTCCATCCAGAAGGTTTCATCAGTCAAGGAAACACACAACACAAAACTGATTCTTCCCCTGGATACCTGGATTATTGAGCATGGACTTTGTTGGTTTTGAACCAGTTTGACATGACTGTCGACAAGGAAGAGGGCCGGCTCCAGAGGAGGGGGCGTGCCAAAGACACCATCTTAGCACCAACATAACTGGTTTGTTCCACTTTGGAGTAAGCTGTTTGTGGGAAGAATCAGTTTTGTGTTGTGTGTTTCCTTCACTGATGAAGCCTTCTGGATGGAAGGTGAAATGTTTCAGAAAGAAAAAAAAAAAGAAACAGTCCAGATGACCTGACTGCCAATTGTTGGATTGTGATTAATCCTTTTCTAAACATCATCTAAAAATAGGTTTGCTCATGTCTGATGTCAGATTGGAGCAGAAATAGATGTTGTGAACAAACTTTAGGCGAGTAGCTGCAGGAAAAACTAGAAAAGTCAAATATTAATGAGAATGAAGAACCGAACAGAAGAGAACAAGGTTCCAGTGAGTTAAAGAGAAGCAGTCAGACTGTGGCTGGTTGGATGATGGGGACATATTTTCACAAGTTGTTCAAATCTTCTTAATCAGCAAATAAATAGAAAAGGCACATCTGCATGTATTTGCTATTCTTTTTTTTTTCCAAAGCAAGGCTTTCGAGCAGCTACAGAATTATTTTTTGAGTAATAAATTATCTTCAACCACTAAATACACGCGCATCGTGCAACAAAAGGGTTTAAATTAATCAAGTTTGGCAGTTGATCAATTTGATATAAAACATTTTTTAATGCAGGTTCCTGAGTTGAGTGCAGCTCAAATGAAAGAGGTGCCAAATGCCATTAATCAAAACATGTTAAGAGCAGCTGCAGTTTTAGACCAGTGTATCCAGTAAAGACCTAAATGGTTATTTTCTACATGGTGGTGAAATGCAGCAGATAAAGTGAATCTCAGTTTAGTAATATGGGCGATGTTTCAGGATTCGTGCCTGCAACCAAAACTCGGGGATAAATCCTTCACAGTGCCAGATTAATCTGAGTTTATATTAAACACGGAGTAGGTCAGGATTACACTGACTCACTATTTTCACGCACAGTTCGTGTGAGCATGTACATAATCCTGGTGGTTGATGTCACTGGACAGCCATGAAACAAATACTGGTAACAGCGACTTTATTAGTTAATCTTACATGTCCGTCCCGTTCCAAGTGATCCCGGTGTTTAAAAAGTCTTTAGCTAGCTTCTTCCACACAACATCCCGGTTTACAATGTGACGAATACTTCTGCAAACTTGGGAGAGTCGACAGAGAGCTTTGTAATCCAGATAAGCTAATATTTGATAGAGGACATCTTCTGGGAGCTGGTAGAGCAGCATGGTGACTGCACCGCTCGGTGTGCTCTCTAAAACACGCGGACAAACACCGTAAACAGCTTTCCATGCTTCAAAACAGCAGGACGGAGGAAACCGGAAGAGATTTGATGACAGATGCTGACGATTTAGGGATTCGTGGTCACGTGACGGCGCGCTACGTCATCACGTCGTCTAGTGCAGAAGTGGAACTGCTTAAATTTGTAATTTTAGTGAATGATGTCTTTAGACTTTTTATTATTATTTATTTATGTTTTTCTTAATTAATCGAATCTGCAAATAAATAAGTAAATTAGTATGAAGCAAAAACACGTTTAACAGCACATTTAGAAACACAAAAAAGGTTCAATCAAACCGTCTTCTACATCTGAAACTTACTAATATTTCTATTTCCCTTCCTTTATTGTTTTTTTACGATGGAGTATTAGGGCTACGCTAAGAAAAAAAATACATTATGTGAAAAAAGTCATAAAATTACGAGAATAAAGTCGTACGAGAATAAAGTCGAAATATTACAAGAATAAAGTCATAATATTACGAGAATAAAATCGTAATACATTCCTGGGTCAGCTCACACCTGCTGTGGACAGCCTCCAGTGTGAGTCACTGTGTTTATGAAGTAGTCCATGATCCTTTTGGGTCACTGTTTGTGAAATATGCCTCCATGCACATTATGTAATGACTATCAATCCATCAATACAGCCATTAATTTAATGCCATATGGCTTCAGTTTATCACAAAAATCCATATACTACAGTGCATTGAGACCCCTGCTACTGTACTGCCAACGTCAGCATTCATCATTTTACTGCAATTGTAAGATTGCTTTTTCCTTTCGGAGTTCTGATAATATTACAACTTTATTCTGGTAATATTACGAGTTTATTCTTGTAATATTACCACTTTAATCTCATAATATTTTGACTTGATGCTCGTAATATTACAACTTTATTCTCGTAATATTTCAATATTATTCTCGTACGATTTTATTCTCGTAATATTACGACTTTATTCTCACAAAAATAAAACTTTATTCTCGTAATATTATGACTTTATTGTCGTACGACTTTATTCTCATTCCTAATGTACTTTTTTTTTCTTAGCATGGCCCTAATACTCGTCATAGTTTTTATTACGTTATTATCTTTCTTATTTGTGTGTGACTAGTCTAGTTTTATTATAAATTTTAAATGTGTAGTTTTGTTATTGGCGCACAATGTCTCAGTTGGTAGCGCTGTTCCCTCTAAATGAGAAGGTCACCAGTTCAAATCCCAACCAGGGACCTTTGGGTGGAGTTTACACGTTCTCTCTGTGCATGCGTGGGTTTTCTCCGGGTACTCCGGTTTCCTCCCACAGACCAAAAACATGCATGTTAGACTAATTGGCAACTCTAAATTGTCCCTAGGTGTGAGTGAGAGAGTGAACAGTTGTCTGTCTCGTTTGTCTCTATGTGTTCTTGTGATGGACTTGTGACCTGTCCAGGGTGTCCCCCGCTTCTCACACAGTGATAGCTGGATATGGGCACCAGTGACCCCCACAACCCAAAAAGGCAGAAGCAGGTAAAGATAATGGATGGATGGATGATAGTTTTGATATTAATATAACCTCTTTGTCTGTAATTAGTAGGAGATAAATGTTTTTCTGCTGTTTGTGTGTATGTATTTGTATATATGTATAAGTGTTTGTCTGTTAGCAAAATATTTTGTGAACCATTGAGCAAACATTAAAAAAACTTTCAAAACATAACCATGTGATGGACCGCTACAAATGATTAACTTTTGGATTCAATCTGAATCAAGTTTGTGACCACAACTAATCCATCCATCCATTATCTTTTACCCGCTTCTTCCATTTTGGGTCATGAGGGTCACCGGTGCCCATATCCAGCAATCACTGTGCAAGGAACGAGGTACACCCTGGTCAGGTCGCAAGTCCATCACAGGGCCACATAGAGACAAATGAGACAAACAACCATTCAGTCTCTCACTCACACCTAAGGGCAATTTAGAGTTACCAATCAGTCTAACATGCATGTTTTTGGTCTGTGGGAGAAAATTTGAGTACCTGGAGAAAACCCACGCATGCACGAAGAGAACATGCAAACTCCACCCAGATAGGCCCCTGGACCAGGATTTGAACCGGGGACCTGCTCGCTAAGAGGCAGCAGCTCTACAAGTTGCGCTACCATGCTGCTCACCACAACTAATCAATCTGAGAAAACACAAAAATTGTCCTCACCCAATCAGTTTTACAGATTTTGACATAAAATTTGCTGTTAGTAACTGCGACTGATTCCCAGCAAATATATATTTTTTTCATTTACCCTTTATTTATCCAGGTAGTCTCACTGAGCCACGAGAACTCATTTTCAAGAGAGACCTGTTTGGGGAGCAGATGGTGGGGGTTAGGGGCCTTGCTCATGGGCCCAGGGTGGGGTGAATGAGGGTGGGGGCAGGTGTGGGTGCTTCACCTACCCCACCCACATTTTTGATGTTGTCAGTACCGGGAGATGAACCTGCGACTTTCCCATCACAAGCCCATCTTCTAACCTCTGCGCCACCTCTCCCCCATTTTGAGCACTAGATCACAAGATGCACAAGATCGTTGTTAATAATTTTGCTGTAACTTCTTTTTTTGGCAGTTCTATTTGAAAAGTCACCACAGCGAGTCATCCTACTCCATCTCACTCTGTTTTCTGCATCCTTTGTCCTCACTTCTTGTCCTCTCTAACTGCATCCATATATCTCTTCTTTGTCTTTTTCCTGGCAGCTGCATTTCTAACATCCTTCTACCAATTTACCTACTGTCCCTCCTCTGATCAAAACATCTCAGTCTGTCCTCTCTAACTTTATCTCCCAGTTGTTCAACCTGTGCTGTATCTCTGATGATCTCATTCCTAATATCATCCCTCTTTGTTACTCCTATGGAGAACCACAACATCTTCATTTCTGCCACCTGCAGTTCTGTCTTCTGTCTTTTTATCACTGCCACTGTCTCCAAACCATACAACAAAGCTGGTCTCTCAACTGTCTTCTGGATCTTTCCTTAAACTGTTGCTGTCACCATTTTCTCACAAATCCATCCAATCTATCTATCCATCCATCCATCCATCCATCTATCCATCCATTATCTTCCACTTATTCCAAAGTCGGGTTATGGGGCAGCAGCTTGAGCTGGGAGGCCCAGACATCTCTTTCCACAGCCACCTCTTTCAGCTCTTCTAGTAGGATCCCAAAGTGTTCCCAGGCCAACAGAAAGACGTAGTTTCTCTAAGGTGCCCTGGGTCTTTTCTGGGGTCTCCTCCCAGCTTGACATGCCCAAAGCAGCTACCTAGGGTGGCAATGTGGAAGCATCCTTACCATATGCCTAAACCACAAACCACCTCAATTAGCTCCTTTCGATGTGGTGGAGCAGCGGTTCTACTCAGTCTATCCTAGATTACTGACCTTCTCACCCTATCTCTAATGGAGAGTCCAGCTACCCCGTGACGGAAACTCGTTTCAACCACCTGTATCCGCAATCTCGTTCGTTCAGTCACTACCCAGAGTTCGTGACCATAGGGGAGGGTAGGAATGTATACTGACAGTTAAACAATTTCCTGAGGGATCAATAAAGATCTATCTTATCTTAACTTAACTTACCTTAAACAGAGAGCTTTGCCTTACAACACAGCTCCTTTTTCACCACAACAGACCCGCACTGAATCCGCAATACTGCAGATGCTGTATGATCCATCTGTCAATCATACTATCCATTCTTCCCTCACTCATGAACAAAACCCCAAGATACTTGAACTTCTCCACTTGAAGCAAAATCTCCCTCTCGACCTGAAGAGAGCAATCCACACTTTTCCGGTTGAAAATCATGGCCTTAGATTTGGAGGTACTGATTTTCATCCCAACTGCTTTACACTCAGCTGCAAACCTCTCCAGTGAGAGCTGAAGAAGGAAGAAAGAAGAAGAAAGAAGGAAGAAGAGCTTCTCAGGGTGACCTCAGCCGAAATGAGGAATGCTTTCAGGAGGATTAATCCTCACAAAGCAATCGGCCCAGACAACATCCCTGGGAAGGTGCTGAAAGAATGTGCCGATCAGCTCTGTGAGGTGCTGGTAGACATCTTTAACTCCTCACTTACCCTGGCAACTGTTCCCACCTGCCTGAAGACTGCCACCATCATCCCAGTCCCAAAGAGCTCTAAAGTAACTGGTTTGAATGACTATCAGCTAGTAGACCTCACCCCGATAGTCGCTAAATGCTTCAAAAAAACTGTTCATGACCCACATCAAAACAACCATCACATCAATGAGGACCCTCAACAGTACGCATACTGCAAAAACTGATCAACAGAGGATGCCATCTCCTCTGTGGTCCCCACTGCTCTCACCCACCTGGAGCAGAAGGACTCCTACGTCCATATGCTCTATTTGTGGACTTCACATCTGCCTTCAGTACCATGATCCTCAAACCCTGATGGACAAACTACTCATACTAGGACTAAGCCCTTCCATTTGCAACTGGGTCCTAGACTTCTTAACAAAACGACCGCAGTCAGTGAGGATCCATAATTTCTCCTCCTCCACCATAACCCTCAGCACTGGCTCCCCTCAGGGCTGTGTGCTGAGTCCTCTCCTGTTCACTTTACTCACATATGACTGTGCACCTGCCCATCAAGGCTGTCATATTGTAAAGTTTGCAAATGATACAGCGGTGGTGGGATGCATCACAAACAACAAGTCCAGCTAGGCGGAACACCTGGAGAGCTGGTGCAAGGAGAATAACCTTCACATCAATGTGAAGAAGATGAAGGAGATGGTCATAGACTTCAGACAGAATAAACACACCTACACCCTCCCACCCCCACCCGAACATAGGAGGATCTATGGTGGAAGTGGTCTCCAGCTACAAGTACTTGGGTGTGCACATGAATGACAACCTCTGCTGGGGCAACAACACTGCCAGCCCAATCAAGAAAGCTCATCAGAGACTCTACTTCCTCAGGCGGCTGAGGCGAGCTGGCCTGGGATTCACAGTCCTCACCTCCTTCTACAGGTGTGCAGTGGAGAACATCCTGTGTTCCAGCATCAACGTGTGGCATGGAGG